GTCAACGCTGGAAGGCGTCCAGAGGTCTCACAACGTCGCTTCATGCGAGTGTTTGTGTCACCTCTCCTGATAATTTGGTAGAAAAAGCGATACAAAATCTCGGAGGATGAGTCAGAAGGTCTCGCAAACTCAATCCACTTCGCATGATTCGGAAACATTTCTTCATTTCTCATCACAAAACTCTGATGAAGAAGCATTGTGGCATCGGGAATGACCTTTGGGCACAACTTTTGATTATTTTTTTACAAAGCTGAAGTGGTGGCCGATTGGAAGATTTGCATCATTCAACGCTTTCTCAACTGCCATTTTTTTCGAATTAATTCAATTCACTGCACTTCCAACAATAGCGAAAAAATTTTCTGAAGAAGTTTGAAGTAATTATTTTCTTACTCTTTCAAGACCACATTGCCTTTGACTGTTATAAAATTGTGGTTTCAAAAGTCCTAAACGCGGATGATGGGTCGGTGGCGGCATTTAGCGCCTTGCGTAGTAAACCACAAGCCACTCCGATCACTTGGCCTCATTGTTGTGCTGTGTGTTGAAAAGGTGGCTGCACGGCATTTGCGTGTTCCAACGTCCGCTCCGTAGTTGCCATTTGAGGTCAGACAATCGTGTTTAGTGGTCTCTTTAGCCCATTCATTGAGACGCTAAATTTTGCTGCTTACTGACGAAGATTTGGCGAAGGATGGTGCATAAACTAACTAAATCTTGAAATTTTACGGATGTTAAGTTCGTGCTTGAAAAGCTTTGGCTATCCCATCCATGTCTTGGGCTCCACCGCTTTGGTGTCAAAAGTGCCTTGTGCCAGGGTGGGTGGGAATTGCTGACCGAAACATAAGACAGACGTAGAAATGGTCCTGACCGCAACACGTCAGTTTTGCTGTTTTGGCGGAGGTCGAAGTCACTCACTTTCCGTCCTGAATGTAGTCACGGAAGCGTCTTGAGCACGATGAGTGGAGTGGGAGGAAAGGTAGTGCTCAAGATGTCAGTGATCACCTTATTCGCTTATAAATTTTACCTATCTTCACTATCAAAAAGGCGTTTCTATCTACCTTCCTGCTATCCTTTTTCTCTAGTAAATGAAAAATACGAGGGATTTGTAAAAAGAGTTACAAAAATGTCTACGAATTGTTCATTTCTTCACTCCGATATTACCATCGAATCACCCGAGTTCGTAAGGAAGCCGTCTTCCCTTCAACTGTCGTGCAGATCCTCGGTGAGTTGAATGGAGTCTTGCCGTACTTGTCGATTCATTTGCTGGTGTAATTTGTCAAGTCACACTCATGCTCCCACCATGGTTCCACATCGCCTCTCAAAATGGCACTCTGCCAGACGCTCAATGAATTCCCCTCTCACTTTAGCGTCGCAACATATGCTTTTACACACATAAATGTTTGACTGACTGTTTTTGTCACCTATTTTGCCCAGTTTGTCGTCGATCTCCTCCATCCTCTAGAGCGCAGTCTGATTTTCAGGCACTTTGAGGAACCACTTACAAATAAGGCCATCGCTATACATCAGATGAGCCGCAGTCTTGAGGCCACCACGGCAATAGCGACTTAGCATGGTTGTTGGAGGTTCAAAGCGGCTGTCGCTGCTGTTGTTAAAACCACGTGGAAGGTGATGCTACATCAGCCTCAACATCGGCATATGAATGCCTTACTGATAGTGAGCAGCGATTCCTAATTTCCAACGCTCGTTATTCCCAAGCAATCAGCCTGTCATATACCCTGCACGGCCGGAGACGAGATGAAGAAGACGGGCATAGTTTTAAATTTTAGAATCACTCTACTAAAAAAGAATGTGTACAAGAAAGGCCTGTCAGGAAAAGTCCAAAGGATCGGTCAGTCAGCTAGAGGAACATACATTTCAGGAAACCGCAAGACCTCATACGACATACGTAAACGCTCGTCCCGAGAAAGTTTGTGTTTTTGTGTGGGAAGACGGAGGAGGAGAAATCGCGTTGAGGATATTATTGTCAGAGCAATGAATAACTCTTCTGCACACCAAACGGTTATTTGGTCACATCAAAAAGCCGAATAGATAACTGGAAGAAAAACTGTAAGGAGTGGGCATGAGTGAATGGCTTACTACTACTGTGGAGTTGGAACGAAGAATCAGTTAAAAATGGTGACAATCTTGGATATTCCCATCAACCTAACACGTACAAAAGCGGGATAAAGTGTTTTTTTCCATTCTCCTTCCCCATCACCTGCGTTCATGAATCCGTGGACTTCAAAACAGACGTCATTTTTTCGAGGTGGAATCGAACAGTAAATGAAGTGACAAGCATGGCTTTCACAATAAGCCCAGTTTTATCATTTCAGGCTATTCATGGTGATGCTTGATGGATAAGTCCACATTAAACTCATTGTTTAATCACGCACATGTGCTGTGCTGACCAGATCTATCAAAGACTTGTGACGAAGTAAACATGCGTAGCCCAAGGGCTGCACTTTACACGCTCTCGTTGTGGCCTCATTAGTGGCGGGCCTGCAAGTCGCGGTGCTACGCATTTCGAGGCTGGAGGAGCGGTGCAATCTGCAAACGACGCCATCTCGTCCACAGAACATGCGGAGGCAACGCACTGCATGAGACAAGTGAATAAATAAACACGATCTTAAGGCGCCAAAATACTGGTGGAGTGATGTTGTGGCATTTACTTGTCGGCGGGTTGTAAGTACTCAATGATCACAAAGACAAAAGTTGATTCACACACAACAAGTTTGTTGCCATGCTTTTGATTTTACTTGTTTAGAAAGGCAATGAGACTTTGAGCAATTTTGCGTATTTTTAGAACTCATCATTGAAATCCACCTCCCCGACGAAGGACATGGAAACAGTCTCCCTCTATTCAGTGGAAAGTGGCGGTTTTCGAAACGACTCAGAGTCAGACACGGTGATTCTCTGTTCCAAAGAAAGTCTTCACTCCGCTTCGGTCGCGGTGCGATCGGTGGGTGGTGTGACACTTAAAATCTTTCTTTGCCAAACCGTTTGAGTACAATCGCTAAAACTTCTCCTCTCCAGTTCAGACAACACGGAATAGCTTACTTCTCATTTGGCATAATCTTATCCCGCTAAAGCCTTTCTTGGTACCAGTTGCCATGGTTACTTTCTAAATGCCTACCTATCATGCATTGCGTGACTGCAGTGTGAAGCTTTCCAGTGCTTCATTCATGTGTTCATTTCAACATAAAAAGGCCAAACACGAGGACTAGACTAAACTAAACTCGCGAGCCATTTCCATTATTTTAGTGACGCTTGAGTGAGTGAGTTCTTCCTGGCTCAAGCAAGAGTAAGTGAAGTTATGCAACTCGGGTTCTCTGAAGGTGGAAGAGGTCATGCTACTTGGGTAGAGTGTGTAATGTTGACAAGCGAGAGGGGTTGTAAGCTACCGATATGGTCTGGAGGCCGTGTGGACTGAGTCTTAATTGTCCGCATAATGGAGGTGGCAGCTTTTGATGTCCGCTGTTGATGGTGTAAAGCAAATTCCCATCCAGCTGAGGATCACCACATTCAGTTAAATATGGAGTTCCTTCTCACATAGGAATTGGAGTTGGGAAGGAGAAATGTGTGAACAATTACACGTTTCTAGAGGTAGACGTAGTAACCCTGCTTCAGAGGTATAGTTTTGTGAGGAAGAGGCTTTCCGTAGGCTCCTCCTCAACCTCCTCCTACTCACTTTACTTCCATCTATTCTAGCGCTGTCTAGTCATGTTTCTCTGGGTTCTCTCAGCTCATCTGACATTTTTGTACGGACACCGTTGACAGCTTCTAAACAAACTTTTCAGATGGTGCACGACTAACACTGTTTCACCTGTGGGGTAGTTGTCAAAGGTAGGCGCCATTTTCAGTACTCCACTTCTGTCGCTTCGAAAGTTTGTGTTCAGTGACAGGAGTCAGAGTAGTCGCGTTTCTCTCCGCTGCTATCACTACGGCACACTGAGCTTTTCTTGGAGTCGAAAGTGGCAACGATACTTGCACCGTCGACATGCACAGGGAGGGCTGAGAGCTACTACTATGCCTCGGAGTCTTGATCGCCTGGCAGAACTACAATGGAGGTCTCCTGAGTGGGCCGCTGTCGAAAGCTGGAGACTGAAAAATAATTAAAATGTCACCGATTTGTAACGCATTTGCATCGTGTCTTTTCTTTTCTCTGGTAGCACATGTTCGATCACATCGTTTGAGCTTATTGCGACGCCGGACGGACTTGTGGGTTGTAGTATTCCTCGGTGCCTTGGAGACAGGTTGGAACACAGTGTCCCTTAACATGTATTTTACAAGGCATGGCTCTTGTGCGATATGCAGTTTTCATTGTTTTTTTTATTAACATATGTTGTGCAGAACATAGCTCCAACTTTATTTTTCAAGCAGTGCACTTATCCTGAAAAGTCTAATTTTTGAAGTAACGGAGTTTAATGAAGTTGCCTTTATTCTTTAGAACCTCCAGAGCGAACAGTCTACAAACAGCAGTGTGGGGTAAGACTGTTCTTCACGTTCTTGTAAATACCACCATTGTAAGCTTCGTGTTTAGTGGCTGCCCTTCTGCCATTCTACCCACATCCATCACATCCTAATTACACCAACTGCGGATGCCATCGAGGCGCTCCTTGCACGCTACCCCCACAAATGCTGGGGAGCATGAATAGCCCTTAGGAGATGTGATGATTGCCAGAGACAGAGCTGCACGTTCCCTTCCATCGTTCCCCCAAGTTTAGTCCATTAAACCCACGGGACAAGTGAATAATAAAATGCGCTGTGAATTGAAAGGCACAATCAGAGGCATTTGACGTCTGGCGTTTTCAATTCCTCTGTTCCGCCTTAAGCCAGTTTAAGCTGTTGTTATTTAGAAATTGGCCTCTTGGCCTCTTGATTTCTGTAATTTGGCAACTTTCCGTAAGAGGATGGAAATGCGGAGATGAGGGAGCGATGCCTGCCTCAACAGTTGTGCACTGAGGGAACGAAGTGCATTTCAAGTGATAGGGAGGATTTGTTTATTCATGGTAGAATTTTACAGTCCCAGTGACACTGCTTACGGTAAATGACGCCGAGTGCTTCAAATTGGCTAAAAGCGTCGGTGCGGAGGGCTAAAATCCTTGTGGAAGAGTGCAGTGTGAGATGTCAATCGTCAAAAGCGACTTCAAGAGAGTTTCAATTCAAATTGGGCATAACTTGTAAACCACGCAATGCCTCAACCACAGCTTGCTCGGCGAATGAACTTGCAATTCTCACCCTAAGTGATTTGAAGTAACTAACATCTTTTTGCTGCAAGTAACTCAGATGCCTCGTTGAACTGGGAAATCGGCAGAACATCGAGGGGCTCTCGCCTTGACCAAGTTCTCGATCGGGTCTTTGGTAAATCTCTTTCAACTTTCTTGCAATTACTTGAGTGTCACCCCAGCAAAGCAGTCCACTGTAGCCCCCGGAGCAATGCTGAGCTCCAGACGAAAAGACAAGTTTTGTTCCTTTTTTTCTTTTTAGTACAAGTATCTCCAGAGGGGGACATTAAAATCAACCACCTCGCCTGCCTCGCCCACATCCAAAAGGTGATTGGCGAACTCATTAAAGGCGCTCAGATTCTCGTAAGTGAGATCGCCTCTGCTTTCGCGTCCACCAGTCGAGTCACCGAGTAGTCGAAAGATCTCAAACTTTCTTTGCCAAATTCCCCCATGCAAATGACGGAGATTATGGGACGGAGTGAGAGTTTTCTTACTGTCTCATGCAAACAAAGCGAATACTACCTCTTTGAGGAGACTTCTTTGTGATTTCCTTTTTTTCAGGTTTTCAATTGCCAGGAGCCTGATCCCAATGTGACTGAAATGTTTGATCAGGTCAGCTTTTGTTTTAACGATAGAAATATAACAATCTAGGCGAATTAAAAATGGGAGTCTCGTCAAGATGATGTTGTAGCAGGAAGTTGGTGGAGGAAGAGTGGACTTCCATTGACGAAAATACTTTCCCATCTTTCAGTTGGTCCTCTAAGATATTGTTGTGAGAAATGGCAACTGTGGTGACCCCATGGACTGCCAGAAGTACAGGTCAATGTGATAACAGCGATTACAAGAGTTTGGGGAATGCATGTCAACTTGTCCTTACACCGACATTCACTTCCGTGATAAGGCCCTCTCTCTAATGCGCACGTTGTTGTTTAATCTCTGCTTGCTTGTCCCTTGAATTACCTTTGGATTGACTTAGCCTTAAACACTTTGCTCCCTTTACGAGCCTGTAAGGGTAGAGTGAAGAGCTAAGTCGGCCCAATGAGTGGAGCCAAAATGAGGAAATCTAAGGCGGGCATTAAATATGGAACACCGATTTGCAGATTTTGCTGGATTTTTTGAAATTTAGACAGTCGACTGCTGTTTTGATCTCACTTCGGTACCCGACCTCCAGTCATTCATTCGCTTCTGCGACATGTGCTACGACTGGCTGGCGAGTGGCGAGTCAAACATTGTGCTTTTCCATGCCGAGGGTCCCACAGCAACTAAACGTCTCCTTCTGCTTCTCTTCGCCTACGCATGTTTCTGTGACTCCGTCGAGAGGTAGATTCCACCTTCTTCTCCTACTGCCAAGATGAAGTTTCGTTTAACCATCTCCAGTCAAGACCACCAAATGCGTGTAAATCCATTTCGTTCACTTTGAACAGGTCGAAACACGTGGGTTAGGCTACGGCTACCTTTGTTTTCTCAGGTCGTCATCAAAACATGTTTTTACCAACGCAAAAAACTATTGAGGTTGAGCTTTGACCTACTAAATGAGCCCATCATCATGTCTAAATAAGGGCCATTGGGAAGGCCTCGAGGCACACCTGAAGCACACATTCGTTTCAATCGACACAGAAGATGCGAGCAGAATGGCTAACTTCAGTGTGCTTTCCTGCTCATTCACACTAACCAACATGATTTGCATAAGAACGAGCCTTAGTAATGTTTTCTTTAAGAATTGTTCCATTCTTTATCTGCCATCCGTTTTGCATCCAGTCATGGGCACTTCATTAGGCTTTGCTTCCTCGCTGAAACTACAAGTTTTGGTATCAACGGTTTCGAGTTGTTCATGCAGCCGCCTTGATTTATTATCTACCATAGAAGGCCTGTCTAAGACCATTTTTTAGTGCTGACGGTGCTAAATGAACAGGTCGGGGGGGGGGGGGGGGGGGAGGGCGGGGGAGAAATTGGCAGATACGTATTCAAAAATTGACCACTTTATCGCTGTCAATCTGGACAAGCCGTGTGATCTGAATTGAACAAAGTCAATGTGTGTGTGGTGCTATAGACATTTTACTCCAAAGTTCTGCCAGGTTTTTTGAGAATGCACGATTTTCGACAACCCATTCAGAAGTGTCTAAGTGGCGTCTGTAAGAAGTTGAGAGACAAAGTTAAGTTGGCTGAAAAAGACTCGTTTTGCCAGCTGCATCCGATCACAATTGCGCATGGTCCGAAAGCGGGTTGAAACGCCGTCGACGGCGCACTAAGAGAACAACAACCCACGGATGCGGCAATCAATTTGACTGGGTAAGGTCTTCATTATTCATGTTGGCACTGCTAACCAAAGTGATGCATCTCTGACGACAATGAAACGACAATCGTTCAAGCTCAACATGTCGGATCATGCAGAGAGATGCTGCAAACAGGCAGCATGCTTCGGTAATCTCTCGCAAAGCACCGCTTGTCGTCATCTGCACGCATTAAGTAATGTTGTGTTTAACAACCCAACCTTTTTGTTAATAATCCAAAACCGTGTTCCACCTCACTTCTGGGGGTGGCGTGGCAATGCATTTAGTTATTACCTTTTTTTATTGCAAATCATCTCAAGTACTCACTTTGGGATTTCACTCCAACGGTACTTAATTTCTGAGCCATTGTTGCGAAGTAGGTGTTGTTTGATGCTCACTGAATGCTCCATTGGAAAGTGTTTGTTTCTGTCTTAGTGACGAACCAATAATAAGACATGCGGTTTCTTGCTTGCTGAACACATCGAGGTTGAGCCAATGGGCTTAACCTGTCAAGGCCGGAGAGAAAGGGAGTATCACCGCTGCTAAATAGGTTGATGAGTCATGAACGAGAAGGAAACGTCAAGTTTGTTGTCTGAATAGAACTGATGGAAGGTAGAAAAACTGGCATTGCTTAAGTTGAAAGTTGAAACGTGTTTGTTTTTTCGCGTTCAGGCAAAACATCAGAACCAGCAGACGCCTGAAAGCCTACCTATCTGCCTATCCTAATGGGAAAACCAACGTTCCAGTCGTATATTTACGGTGAGCCTAAACACGTTGCAGTCGAAGTCCACTGACTGTTCTCCGACGCTTAATTCAACCACCTTACGATGTCTTTTAGCTATTCTACCTATATGAAAATTTTCACTCCCTTTCGTCGTCAAAGCATTTCCAAGGCGACCATGTCCGTGTATTGCATTGTTGTACACAACTTCCCTCTATTCACCAGTCATTCCGCCAGCATTTTCTTCAAATTCTACTCCTACTCTCCATTGCGACACGTCTACACAACGGATGTACAGTAAGTAGAAGGAGCTTTTCTCCCCAGCAATTGCTTGTCTCCTCGCTGTTGTAGCAACTTTTCTGGACGACTGAGCGAGAGGATGGAGCTGCTGCTTGCCGAAGAGCCGATATCGTTGAGGGGCAACGTGGTAATCTTATGCTATCGCCTTAAACCAGAGAAACTTGAAAGGAGACGTGTTTTCAAGTGAGTTTGCGGTTTGTTGAGAGGAGGCAGCTATTGGCCAAAGACTTTACAACGTCCACACGGTGAGGTAGTAGTCGAACACATTACTGCAATGGGAAAAGTAAACCCTTGCATGGAAGACTGCAACGATGTTGTGCTGGGCTTCATAGATTGGGAATTAAACTTCGAGAGAAAGTAGATTGTACTAAATTGAGGGTCAGTACTAAGGGTTGGCAGCGCTATTTTCGGCTTTGCTTATCGTTTCCTTTTCAAATTGGCATTGTAGGCTCACATTTCATTCCTGTGAAGGTTACAAGGAAATGTTGACCTTCACGTATGACGCCTTTGATGAGGTGTCTGAGGGTAATTCAATATATTATGCATTAATGTTTTCAAATGGTTAAACGCAAGTCCTGAACTAATGCTTTCATACTTAGCCGTACCGGCCACGTTTAAAATGGACCTCTACCTAACACCGGTGACGGAGAACAAGTCAAGTGAGTTGAAGGTGGAACAAGTCTGCTAGCATAAGACAGTGCATGAACCCAATTTACTGCTTTCCCATTTTCCCAGAAGTTGTCACCGGAAATAACTTTTTTTTGGAAGACACAAAAAAAATTCGCCACCGGAACAACCAACATCCCCCTCTAGTTGACAGCATTGATCCGTTAAACATCATCCAATCACGAGACATCCCGTTGGAGGCTCTTCGACTTTCGGACTCGCTGGAGGACATAACTCATATGCCAAATAGGTCGAGTCTGCTGGCAGACACTTTGGTAGTGGAAGAGGCCAGCCGCGAGCTTGTGCGAAACCGTAGTCAGACATTCAATGACTTCTTCATGAACGCCTATAGTCGACAGGAAGATAAACAATGGAATTTCCCTGCTAACTTTAAACGATCTGCCCCAAGACGGCCTCCATCACCAAATCTGCGAGGTCTGAAGGCTTCAAAAGCCCTGGAAGAGGATTGGCCGTCCATCTACGAAATGTCCAATAGGGGTAGCAGTGATTCCGGCTCTGGCCTACATTTGGATGTCTCAGGTTATAATTCCGCAGCCTACTGAAATACATAAGTCGTGTTGCGTACCTTCAAATAGCATAGCGTGTGTTTCTGTGAATTTTGTTATAGATGCGTCTGAAAGGTGTGTGAAGGGGATAACCAAAATCGGATTTAAGAAGGTTAAGAAGAAGATTAAAGGTAACTTGTGACTTAGGTAGCAAACTGAATGTTGACGTTAATGTCAATGCACGCCACTGTTAACAACATAACCTAACAAATGTAAATAAACTTTAATGTATTTCACTGACTATCGGAATGGAGAAGAATAGAAGCACTTGCAATTTGATGCATGCATAAAACATTTCAATAAATCTGGAAACATTAAAAGAAATGCTTCTGAATGTGAAAACGGAAATGATTTTTCGGACCCCTTAATGTCCCTAGTTTTGGGAGTGACCACCATTTTGGTTAAGTTTTATGACGAATTATTGCCGTCATGCCTTTATTCCAATTTTAAAATATAATGTATAATGCAGCGTCCCGAGACTTCGTTGTGGCGGAGAGAAAGCATAGTGCTTGAGCATGCTGCACGTGTTCAGCAGAGGGGAGAAAGAGGATTGAAACGTTAAGCATGGTCTGGAGATCAACCCACCCAATTAATCCGATATGACTACTCGCATCAATGAGACCGAAGCCGGCAGGCAAACAACCAACGTAGGACAGTAAAATACGCACTATGTCGAAAAATAAGGCATAACTATAACTTTCCGATTCGTCAGGCTTTATGAAGGCGTTAAGACGTTCCAAGCTAACTTTCAGTCACATAGTAACAGGTATAAAACTTTGAATTCCTCTTGATTTTGTTAACTATTCGACTGAGGCAGGATCTAGCATTCAACTATCAATTGGTGGAAATGCTTTTACTTACAAATTAAAAGTAGCGTAAAATTCAAAATGCACATTTTAATTGCATTTGAAATTTGATAGGGATGCTTGATTTGAAAAACCACAAATCTCCGAAACTTAGCAAATCCAACAAAAACGAACAACTGATGCCTCCACCAATTACCAGTGTGGTTCCCCGCGCACGGACTGAAAGGACGGTTTCCAAGTCGGTAGTCTTTTTAAATGCCACTCCAAAGAAGACCCCGCCGCCACGTCCTCCGCCACCGAAATTGCCGGAGAAAATGGAAACCGATGAGCCGGGAAGGGAGTGGCAATGCAAAACCCCTGCCGGTGTTCGTAGCGTTCCTACACGATATTTCGGACCATTGGAAAAGTATCAGCGATTGACGGAGAAGGATTTTGCCGGTGGTGAGTGACAGCCAAGCTTTTTTTTTAAATTATAGAGCCAAGAGGAGACAATCCTAATCCTTTACAAAATTTGCATTCTGGGTTGTTTTAATTGATCGACATTTTTGCATAATTTTAGCTCTACCTCGAAGCATTTAAATGCTTTGGTCTAAGCATGGCTGATTGTCTTGGTATCTATCATGAAGTTTTGGTGTGTTGGAAGAAATTTTTTTGATAACCTGGTGGCTCTCATTTGCGAACGAATTTTTCTCCTGCGCGCCTTATGGCTGAACGGATGTTCAGTATTTTGAGGGCCATAATGCCTTTAGGCTGCAGAGGATGACCACTTAAACTTTCGTAGCTCAAAAATGCCAATAAGTACGGGCTGCTTCAAGATTTTCATTTAGGGCGTTAGGCACTGAAAACCACTGGCTCATTTCACTAAGCGAAGTCCGAATGCGCCTAGTCATCTCAATTTCTGCGTTCGCTCATGTAGGGATCGGTAAAAGTGAGAGTAGTCTGGTCGATAACTTGTTTTGTCATTGCACTCGACGAGGATGACAACAGCGTTACTGGTATCAGTGTTGCCGTGCCAAATCAAATGAAGTTGTTGCACGGGTGTTGAAAATTTCCACTAAGTGAGACTCCTTAATTTGGAACTGTATGCCTGAATGTGAAGTTCATTAGCACGACTGGCGCTCCGATGCCACCATGTTAATGGCGCAATGGAAAAGTATCAAGTTTTTGAAATGCTTACAGTACTCGCTACGGGCTCTTCAATGTCAACCTGCAATTTGTGCATTGAGGGGCGATGTTTCCAAAATTAGTAGTTTTTATCATTTTCTCTGGCAATTCATTATCCTTTGCTTGACTTTGTTTGGACTGCAAAGGGAGCTTATTTGGCTTTTCAGCACGTTCCCATGAGAAACGCAGGTTTTGTGGTGTTTTGATGGATCAGTGAATGTGTGAGACTGGCATGCACCCAGCGGTGTGGGCTCATGATCCCGTGAGTTTGGTTGCATTGTCAATGACCTTGAGGTGAGCTCAACCAATTAGTGACTCCTGCTGGTAAGCACATAGAGAGACACACAAACGCCAAATTTGAGCGTTGTGATACATTTGTATCCACTTCAGTGCATGCCTCGGTGGCCCAGCACGGGATTTATGCCTAAAGGGGGAGTAATCAGTTGGAAGGTTTGGAACCTATTCTGAAGGAGGTGGGTGAGTTGTGTGACTAGCCTTCATCTAACTTCTCACGGTTTCTGTGCAAACAGAGCTTTGAAAGTGTATAAGGCTTCCCCAACATTGACATTTATAAATTTCATCCTTTCTGCCCTCATCTTCAATGCACTTGCCGTTGAGGCGGCAGCTTGTGGGGCAGGATCAGTGAAAGACTGGAAAGGCACACAGCAGTGGGAATATTTTAGAGTACATAAAGCTATATTGTGTGTGTGTGTGTGCAACAATCATCAACTTCTATTTACGCATTTAGATGATTACTGGGAGAAACAGTTGTTGTTTCTCCCAGTGAGGCGCAGGAAACCGTACGATAATCACGTCAGTTGTTCCTGCAATCTCCACTTATAATCAAACCTCGTGGGAATATTTAGGGAGTTGAAAACTGAATACTCAATTGTCTTATTTTTTTATCGTTTACTGAAAATATGAGTGAAATGTGATAACCCTTAAGGTGTTCTTCAACTCCTTGTTAGGAGGTTAAGGCAGTCGAATCGCTCAAGCATTCATTGGGTCCTCGATTAAAGCTGTCGCGGTTTCATAATCCATGTAAGTTGCTGCAGACGTACTGTGCTCAGCTTCTCCTTCTACAACACCATCCAACGGGCACACACGTCGCTTTCGGATCTGCGACTCCTTGATTTCACGCCTCTCTCATACAATGGAGTGAGCTAACACCTGAATGCCTTTGTGCTACCCTTCGTGCATTCCTTGCAGAAGTCAGTGATGAGAAAAGTGCTATTCGAATCCACTGGACTTTTTCCGTACTCCTTTTGATGACTTTTCAAAGTGGGCGAATATACGCTTGTCAATGGTCCACTCATTATCCTAGGACGAAGGAGCTAGTCATTTGGTTCTCCCGAAACAAACTCAAGGCACCTTACACAATGGAGACGTAGGCTCCGTAAATTCTCCAAATGGAGGTGATGCGATGTTTTTACTGCATGAGATTCACCTCCTAGCAGTTCGGCGCTTCTAACACACCTGTAAATTAATTCACTCGAGCTTAACCATGGCCTTCTGCAGTCTCTGAGGCAGCAGAAAATTACGCATTTCAAACATTTTCTGTGCTCTTAAATCACTGTTTTATTTGCTGAGTGGGTTGTACACCCTCCTCGTAGAGGCTGGTGTAACAAAATTCACTTGTAGGAACAATAGAGGAATTGGCTTTGACATGACAGTTGTTAACTTTGTACAGCAGAAAAGTGATGAGTTGAACATTAATTATCCTGTTATTTGGCTCTGACAGACGTGAAGTGGTGCCGTACGACCACCAAATAAGGGCAGGGAGAGCCATCAGTCCTATTTGTGGATGTGCTGTGCCTCAAGCCTGATCAGCTTTTGCTAAGAGAGGCGACTGGGATTTATGAAGTGGTCATTTGGCCAGACTGATGTTTGCCTCCACCTCATACAGGCTTTTACGACGATGGTAGTGGCCAAATGCGCAATTTTGCATTGCAATTTGTCACCTAAATACCAAACACCAGGCTTAGTCCTTCTCCTAACGAAATTACTTAAAGGTTGCTTATGTTAACGGTCAAAGTTGGTTTACAAATAAACAAGCCTGTCTGCTGGGCTGTGACTTTGCATTCGCTTAGCCTCCTAAACTCTGGTGCTACGATACATGGAAGATGTTGTGCAATCGCTGCAAACTCTTCTTAGGAGCTCTTTTCATCCTGCTTCATTTTTACCTCATAGAGGATTGTAGCTGCAGGCGTTTGTTCCTCTCTGCCAATCCTCTCGCATTCTCCTCGGCTTAACTCTGCTGGCGATGTTTTAATGAGGGTCCAATTTTAATGCAAACGCGAGACAATGATTTTGTGGCTGTCGGATAACCACTGGCCGTGACTATGGCGTCAAGGCGAGTGAGCCTTCAAGGGCACTGTATGTTAATTATAAAGTCTGGTTCAATTCCGTTCATTCGGAAATGGTGTTCGAGTTGTCGGACTAAATGCAAGGCTGCCCTGTGCCACCTCAGTACACTAATACCCACAGAAAGGGCGGCTTTTGTTTCATCCTGGTGCAGTGTCAATCCATCTTTCTTTCAGCAGTCTTCAATGTAACACACAGCAATACTGCCAATGTGCTGCTGATCAAGGTGACACGGGCGAGACAAAACTACGCCGGTGTGTGTCTGTTAAGTCTCACCGCTATAAGGAGACGCAACAGAGGTATCGAATCTTCATGCAAATCTGCTTTTTAGGAAGTGAAAACACCAATTTGCGGCTTTCGATTTATTGTTGTCTGGTTCAGCTAGCTAACTTTACCGCTTTTGTGCATCGTTGTAGATGCTAAACGAGGCTGGAGTGAAGGAATAAGAGGTCAGTGGATTTTGTCTTTGACAAAATCTCCAATTTACTAGCATATCAGATGGACTAATTAATGACCGTAGGTTGGAAAAATGCGTCGCACATGTAGTAAATAGTCGTGGAAAATGTCTGCTGCTATTGGTGCTGCTATGCTGTCATGCCCACCAGTTGGTTGAGTGTGAACGCGCGTCATCCATATTGAACACACCGTCGAAAAGGTGACCAATAGAGGAGCGAGAGATTGCACCACCTTGTGAAGAGGCACAAGTGCCGCTTTTTCATGCAGTTGCAGAATCTTATCGTCTGGCTAACTATTTTTGCGCCACTCGCATCATGCTGTCAAGTTGATTTCCGTTCTCGCTGCATATGGACTTGGCTAGTTCCTATGCAAAAGACAAATTGACTCCTCAGCCTCTACAAATTCTATGTCCAAATACATTTTTTCGTTCACTTTATTTGACAAAGCGGATAAGCGCGAAGTTTAGCAGACGCCTGTTAGTTGTGACAATGCATTACTTGTTGGAATTGTAATGAGAGCAACAACCCATGGAGACTTCATTGAGTGCATAGGAAAGAGTTTTACTTTTCACGTAATTTGGGGACAAAGCACGTAGTAGTGCCTCTTTGTTGGCTGTAGAATTGCGTAAGGCGATGAGCCTACTTAAATGCCATTAAGTAGACCCGTGGACCATGCTGATTATGGACGCAAATACGTAATTTGCAGTCAACGTCCTACTAGATCTTTTAAAGGTTATGGAAGCAAAACGAGTTATTTTTATGTTTGCTCTGTAAAGATCCTCGAAGCGAAATGAGTAATTTTGTTGACCTCTCACGATTTAAGGCATCATATGAACCGAAATTCTCGGAATTGAGTTCCAAATTACGTTCAGAGAAAATGGCTGAATCAAAAAAATTTATTTACTTAACCTTAGTACAAATTTTGTTTTCAGGATCTAGATAAAATCACATTACTATTCAAAATAAAGGGTTAGTTCTTTGCGGATGAACATCTAAAGAGCTCTCTCCATCTGGCTCACCCTTTCGCAAAATCTGCAACCTTGTTTATTTGTGCCCGCCCAACAAAGAGCACTTCTTTTAGTAATTCTACGATGTTTCGTCTCATTTGTCGTTTCCTGTCTGGTCAAGGCGGTCAAGGTCGCGTGCATGGGAGCCTAGAAAAACGAGGTCGTGGCGGCGACTAAGGTCACTGCAGCTTTTTAAACAGCTCATCGTCACTCCACTGTGGGGCGGGGGCATAGCAACTGGGTCAAAGGCACTTTAGGGCGAGGAGGAGGCGGCAAAAGCAGAGGGTGTCTGAAGCCGCCAACGTCCACACAGCTCTTCATCCTTTCCCCTTCACCCCCTGTACGAGCATGCTCGTAACCACAACTTCGTAGTATGAAGCGTTCAGTAAAAATTTGCATTAAATTAATTCGGTAGATGGGCCGCAAATCGAAGCACACACAGCGCGAGAAGGTGTCATGGCGTCTGAACGTACGTTAACGTGTGTCTCTTTACCAACAAGTTTTTAAAAAATCCGCCCATTTTCGCCTTTACTCTAAGGAAGCAGTCTCACCGCTTCGTCTAGTAGTTTTCTCGGACTTGATGTTACAGTGATGCTACAGTTGAAATTAGACATGTTGCCAGCTATTCAGTGGACTTGAAACGCAGATTATGTGGATAGCAAGGTGGTAACCTTTGATCTACGGTTGGACCGATTAGTATAGTGCTTATTATCGTCATGATACTTGTTTCCTCCCCTTTCTTCTAGTTTCTTTTACTTTACCATGCTTACGTTTGCCAATGCCTTAATGTACTAGCTTCATTCAAATTTAATCAGCATAAACACCTACTTGTACTTCTTCTTCTCCTTCTTCTTTCCTGAAGTGGATTTAAATTACTAACTTTCAGCATCTATAATGCAGATCAGATGGTTGTAGTGGTTATCTTGACCTCCTGTTTGCATGTTGGTCATGCACCAGGCCCCTTTACCGGATTGGTATCACACTTGTATGACATTGCCCTCTTGCATTTGCCCTGGGGACATGAATTCATAGTGGGTCATGCAAATGAGAGTAAAAATTCGGTTCGCTGAAGCGGTTTGCAGCTACGCGCATGCGATGTGGTGCAGCGCTGCACGCGATGCGCGTGGTGGTGCGTCAGAGCTCCGCTCTCCCTCCCTTACCGTCTCCACCCCCCGCCCCCGCGCTCTCTCGCTCTCTCCACCTTGGTGACTCACTTTCCCAGGGTGACTCACCGAGCTCTCGGACCACCTGTCGCACCTTTTGCCATCCCCCATATGATCCATCCGCCTCGACAATACAAAGTAACCATGGTACCACGGTGTAGAAATGTTAGTTCTGAAAAAGTTTTCCCTTACCTCCAATGTAGTCGGAGTTACCGCTGTGCGGATTAGGTTTTCAGTTTCCGCTACAGTAGAGCAGTAGAGAAGCGTTACGCAAGTCCGTAGAATGTTGTGCATGCTGGAAACGTGACCACTTTCAATAGCCGAAACAATAAGGTCCCCACGTCATTGGATCATTTGAAGGGCACTCTTCAGCTGCACTTGCAATCCACGTAGCACACCATTTGGAACACCCAGCCAAATCGGTGCCAGTGGAATTCGCCTTGCCCTCTTGCTTCGAGCACCATTTCATCTATCTCTTAAGATACTCAACCTTTTTGCTGCCAAAACATAAAATCTGTTAAAATTGTATATCGTCTCGATGTCGAATTCCGCTTCATTTTGAAACCTCGTACTTGCTCTTTTATTTTAACTTTTCCCTATTGGTATTTTCTCGCCACTGCCAGCCTTGATGCTGATGTCCCTCTCCCTCTCTCCCTCTTGTAGTAGACCTAAAGTACACTTCAAGCAAGTTCATTTTACTTTATCTGTTGGCATTCTGTGATGAGGAGAAGCAGTAACTGCCACCAAGAGGACTTATTTGCATTGACATTTTCGAATATTGTGTCACAAATGTCACACAGTCAGAAGAATGTTCCTCCATAATTACTTTGTCTCCCTTTGTATGCATGGGATGAACGGTAGCAGCGCATTGCAGTCGTTTTGCCCATCTTTTGCCTGTTCGCACACTGACCGAGGCTAATAACCTTCCTGCATTTGTGCCCACGCTTTCGCCTACGGCCATTCCACTGACTTGTCCGTAATCCCGTCTACACATAGCAAATGGGATGCGAAGTAGACATGTTTTTTTTCTAGATCAGATAGGAGGTTTTTAGTACCTTCCCTTAAGGGGAAAAGAGGGATCACAATTGGAAGGGATGTGCATTTTTGGCGTTGCGCAGAGGTTCGTCTCCCCTGCCAAGGTACAATGACAGACTTCTAACATGGCAACTTACCAAAAATCAGGAGCCAATTAACACATTACAATTATTCACAACATTTTAGACCCACAGTCGTTGTATTCAACGGTCGTTGCACTGTTGTCGTTGGCAGGACGACTCTTAAGGAGGAATACCTGGTTTTGACATCGTTTTTTTTCAGCACCATTCAAAAATGCCAAAATAATTCTGTTTGGTTTAGGAGACACTATTAAATCCAGCAGATTTATGACTGAATGCAGAATTAATGAAATTTTATGTACTACATGGAAACGTAGTTTTGAATGCAATGCGAATCATCAACTCATTTTCGGTTTCATTACCCCCTCAAGACTGATACAGCTTTAGGCAAGTGGCATTTTACAATACTTTGAGGAATATTTTGTTCAACTTAATCTCCCCTTTACAATGTCTCAAGTACAATTGTACTGCAATTGGGAAGGGTTTAAAGAACCTGCCAACTCCAGACGTAGGAGGATGCCAGCCGATGGTGGCCGTGGGGTTTGTGGACAAGTGGAGTGAACAGATGGCTCTGTTTTGCCATTCTTGGTGCGTCCACAAGCACCGTCGTCACAGTTGTAGACATTTTGGGCATAGTAAAACACAACACAGTACAGAGCTGATCGATGTAGTGGCTTGGCCAACCAGAGCGTGTCAGCCAGTACACACGCACGCACGCACGCACCCGCAGAAGCAGCAATAGCAACTGTGCTGCTGCTACTGCTGCTGCTGCGGATGTTGCAATACTATACAACGAGGAAATTGATTCGTCAAGTCTACCACCACTGGCACACACACACACACATCCAAGTGTGCACATGCACGCACCCACGCACACGGTAACGGGCAGAAGAGGGAACGCACACAGTCCTTCGGCTTACGATCGCCTTCACCTCGTATTGGGGAAGTGTTGCGTCCGAGGTGGTATTACTCTCCTCCGCATGGATTACTAATTGTGAAGGCTTTTACGATTTTCGTCACTACTGCTCCATTGCTACCGCTGGTGGTGTGACACCTCCGCACGCTAAGAGTGTGAGTCCCTCATTAACTGGGCAAGCCTTTTACTGGTCAGTGGACTCCATGCTCCATCCCCCTAGGCCCATTGCACACGTCATTATTTTACCTACTTTCGTCTATTTTTCTTTCAATGAAAACGTGTTTTACTAGATGACTTTTTTATTATCTTCAAATCGCGTGTTCGCATTGCTTTGAAGGGTCTCTGAATTTT